ATGTGATATATCCTGAAGAATTTTTTGTGTATTCTAGAGAAGAATGTCTGTTTTTCGCTTTTGGGTGGAAAGTTCGGTCTATCTCTGTGAGGTCCACTTGGCGTACAGTGCTGTTCAGGTCTGCTGTTTCCTGTCTGGATGTTCTATCCATTATCTTAAATGGGACATTGAAGTCCCCTATTACGTTGCATTGCTGTCAGTTTCTCCCTTTCGCTCTGTTAATACTGCTAGTATAGTTCGGTGCTCTGGTTTTGGGTGTGCACTTACTTATAACTGTGATAGGTCCCTGTTGAATTGACCCTTTTATCAGTGGAAGAGGGAGGGTAATGGCCTTCTTTGTCTCTAGAGACAGTTTTTGACTTAAGGTCTATTTTGTCTGATATAACTTTAGCTATCCCTGCTGTCTCTGTTACCATTTCCATGCAAATGGTAACCAAAAGAACTTTTGTCTTTCTGTCTGCTCAGTATCCCACCTATCTGGAATTTACATGATGGCTAGCTGTAAACCTGTGTGACCATGGAGGGGCGATGCATGAAGATCAGAGGTCCCCTAGATAATTTCCTTGGGGGCTACCCCGAAAATCTTTCCTTTCTTCTCCCAAGAAGCGATGCTGGCCTGCTGTTTTGCAGGCCCTGTTCATGCGTTTTCTGCTCCTCCTTCGCTCAGCAGGTATTGCTTGCCCTGCAGAGCACTGAAGAAACCAAGAGAGGCACACCACGCTCCCAGGAGCTCACAGCCGGACTCCTGCCAAAGAAATCGGAGGCACAGAGCGTGTGCTCGACTGGAGGGGAGTGCGGTGGTAGAACGGTGGCTGCTCTGTGAGGTGGTGCCTGGGAAGCTAGGTGGTGCGTTCTGTGCCTGGGAAGCGGTTTGGGTATAGGAAGAGGTGTGCTGTATTTCCCAGAGCATGGGCAGGAAGAGAACCTTTATACAGTCCTTTAAGTCAGTGGTCCCTAGCCTTTTTGGCACCAGGGACCAGTGTCATGGAAGACAGTTTTTCCATGGACCGTGGGGTGGGACATCATTTTGGGATGAAGCTGTTCCACCTCAGATCATCGGGCATTAGTTAGATTCTCATAAGGAGTGTGCAGCATAGATCCCTCCCATGTGCAGTTCAGAGTAAGGTTCACGCTCCTATGAGAATCTGATGCTGCCGCTGACCTGACGGGAGGCAGAGCCCAGGCGGTCATGCTGACTTGCCCAGCTCACCTCCCACTGTGCGGCCCTGGTGCTAGTCCGTGGCGGGGTTGGGGGCTTGGGGACCCCTGTTTTAAGGCATCTTTTAAGACTTTTTATTATTTTTGCTCTTTAGGCCCATTTATCAGAATTTTTTTATTTCTAATAGCTGAAAATTCTGTTTCTTAAGCATAGAAATTTAGGAATGTCCATGATTATATCTGAAGTAATGAACTCATCTTCTTCTAGAGCCATGTAGTTGAAAAAGTTTTATTCCATGTCCTAGAGGCTGATCATCAGCGTGCTCTTCCATTTTTTAAATGGCAAGTGACGGTTTCTCCTCCCACATGGTGTGTGGGGCCCCTGAGCTGGTGGAAGAGGGTGGATTTCTGAGCAGGGACAGCTGCATCCGCATGTCCTAAGCACTCACTGTGGGCCACAGAGATGCTCGTGTGGATCACTTGCAAGCCGGTGTGTGTGACGAGGGAGGGGAGAAAGGTGTTGATGGTGGCAGCGGGCGGAGCGAACTTAGCGTGGGTGCTGGGGTGCCAGTGAGACCACGATGAGCCTGGCTGTCCTCAGAGGGCCGTGGCTGTCTGCCTTGTCGTTTACTCATTTGTGTGTTAGGTGCTAGGACTCGATTTCATGATGTCCACGGACCTCCTCCAGAGCTGAGGGCTCCTTGAGGTATGGAGTGCAGTTTTCTGATTTTACAGACGAGCAAACAAGGCCCCGCAGGAGAGAGGAGGTGCTCTGGAGTAAGAAAATGCTGCTCTGCATCCTGGGTGTGCGTGTCCTTTGTTTTCTGACACAGGGACAATTACTCAGTGTTGCTGAGACTGTTTCCTCCTCTGCACCGTGGGTTATCATAGTTCTACCTCACGCAGTCGCCGTGAAAGGTGCAGATGGTGTGTGCAGAGCACTTAATCCAGGGCCAGGTGCACAGCAGTGGGTGCTCAATAACAATTAGTTATTTTTGCTGCTATCCAATCCTGCTGACCAGTGGCCGGCAGTCATGGCTCTTCACTCTTGTTTGGTTTTTGTTTGAGACAGTGTCTTGCTCTGTTGTCGAGGCTGGAGTGCAGTGGTGCGATCTTGGCTCCCTGTAGCCTCTGCCTCCCGGGCTCAAGCAATTCTCCCACCTCAGCCTCCCGAGTCACTGGGACTATAGGTGTGCGCCACCATGCCTGGCTATTTTTTTTTTTTTTTTTTAACTTTTAGTAGAGATGTGATCTCGTGATGTTGGCCAGGCTGGTCTTGAACACCTGGCCTCAAGTGATCCGCCTGCCTTGGCCTCCCAAAGTGCTGGGATTACAGGTGTAAGCTACCGTTCCAGGCTGGCTTTTTGTTCTTTACTGGAAGTCTCTTTTCCCTGCAGACAAAGTTAGCCCAAAGGTTAAGCCAGAAGAAAGGAACATGTCACAGGTGAGGTCACAGGGCTGGCTTGGAGCAGACGGCATCCCTCTCTGCTCGTCCCTGCAGTGACTTCCTCCTGTCATCCAGGGGCTGTCACATCCTGTTCTTCTCATGAAGACTTAATTAAGTGCCAAAAAAGAGACATACCGACGTGGGAAGTGTCTTCGCCTTGCGCTGTGTAGGGCAGAGAGGGCAGCCTGGCTCTGGCGCCTGCTCACCATGTCCAGCCGGTGAACTTCCACTCTTGGTGCCATGGCTGTCAAGTCGGGGATGAATGCCTGCCCTGCCTGCTTCCTGGGGCCACCCTCGGCATCGGATAAGGAAGTATCCTTAAAATGGGTCCTAAACTGGCCGTGCGCAGTGGCTCATGCCTGTAATCCCAGCACTGTGGGAGGCCGAGGCGGGTGGGTCACCTGAGGTCAGGAGTTGGAGACCAGCCTGGCCAACATGGTGAAGCCCTGTCTCTACTAAAAATATAAAAACTAGCCGGGTGTGGTGGTGGGCACCTGTAATCCCAGCTGCTTGGGAGGCTGAGGCAGGAGAATTGCGTGAACGCAGGAGACAGAGGTTGCAGCGAGCTGACACAGCGCCACTGCACTCCAGCCTCGGCAGCAGAGTGAGACTCCGTCTCGGAAAAAAGCGCCCTAAACTTAGACTGAAAAGCAGAGAATGAACAGAAGGAATTATTAGAGTTTGGTAGCAACTTACTGGATTTTAGGTATTTACATTGAAAACAAAACAACTCTTAAAAACTGAAACTGTGAAAAGCCAACACCTGGTATCACATTTCTTGAAAAAAGAACTTTGAATCTAGTAGTACACATTATAAATGAAATAATTTTAGTCAGAATTTGAGTTTCAGGTAATAACTGGTAAAGGGAGTCAGGTTCTGTGAGATGGAAGCCATGAAAAAATGGAGTGAAAGTCCCTTTAGGGGATTAAGAAATGAGTAATGCATGTTAGCGTTTAATTTTCCACTTGTTCTTGTTACATTCTTTTTGTATTTTTTTAAAGAAGCTTGTTGATGTATAATTTAAATACCATAGTTTCACCCTTTGGAAATGTACGATTAAATTATTTTACCAGATTTAGAATTCTGCAACCATGACAAGTTCTAGAACATTTCATCACCCCATAAGGATCCCTGGGACCTGTTTCTAGTCAACCTTTGTTGCTTTCCCCAGCCTTGGGTAGCCCTGATCTTTCTGTTTCTCTAAATTTACTTTTTCTGGAATGTTCATATTGATGGACCGACCCCGTCTTTTGCGTCTGGCTTCTTTCCCCAGCATCACTTCTAAGCATTCATCCATGTACGAGCTGTGCCGCATTTTCCCTATCCGTTCACCACAGATGGACATTTGGAATGTTTCCAGTTTTCGTCTCCTTTGTATAATGTTGTTATGAGCATCAGTGCTTTGTGTGGACATGTGTTTTCATTTCTGTTGGGTGGATTCCTAGTAGAATTGCTGGGTCATATGGTAAATTTATGTTTAACTTCGTAAGAAACTGCCAAACTGCTTTCCACAGTGGCTAGCCCATTTTACATTCCCACTAGCAATGTATGGGGGCTCCAGTTCTCCACATCTCGGCCTTTTCCCATATTTTGTCTTAGAAATTCCACTTCGGGCCAGGCGCGGTGGCTCAAGCCTGTAATCCCAGCACTTTGGGAGGCCGAGACCGGCGGATCACAAGGTCAGGAGATCGAGACCATCCTGGTGAACCCGGTGAAACCCCGTCTCTACTAAAAAGTACAAAAAACTAGCCGGGCGAGGTGGCAGGCGCCTGTAGTCCCAGCTACTCGGGAGGCTGAGGCAGGAGAATGGCGTGAACCCGGGAGGCGGAGCTTGCAGTGAGCTGAGATCCGGCCACTGCACTCCAGCCTGGGTGACAGAGCAAGACCCCGTCAAAAAAAAAAAAAAAACAAACAAAGAAATTCCACTTCGATTTGAATTATAATCAAATAGAAAAGATGCTTTTGTGATAACACGGAAGTCTCAATTTGATGACGTGTTGGACTGTGTACCTTTGGTTTAACAGCAGCCTAGTAACTGGGAGGAATTGATTTATGTTGCCGAACGAATGGGCCAGTTGTCAAGGGAGCATGTGGCAAATAATTAATGACAGTTTGCTATGGCCTTTCTTAGAGAACATACTCTATCTGGCCTTCCGCTGCTTTATCAGGGTCATCTAATGATTTAGCAAATGCAAGCAGCTTCCCTAAGAAGGCAGTTGGTGGTAGCTGTGTGTGTCTGTGGGTGTCCAGGCCTGACGCATCCAGACCCGTGACTCGTCATTTGAATAGATGTGTACACAGTGGCAGATACAGGCCCCTCACGTCCACGCAGGCCTTCGTGTGTGCTAACTCCCTCGCGGCTGGAACTCAGTAATTTCCTGTGCTTCTTTCCAGATCGTGCACAGAACGCTGGCGGCCATGCTGGGTTCCCTGGCGGCACTGGCAGCACTGGCTGTGATTGGCGACGTAAGTTGTCACAGTCCCAGTCCCTGGCTCACCACTCAGTGGAACGTCAGCTCAAAGACGTTCCAGGATTCAGGATTTCGCTGTTTTTTTCACTATCTTATATCCCACGTCCATGTTTTTGCTCAGGAACCAGGCTAGAGGGATGAACTAACAAGCTACAGCATGAAGAGTATTTTTCATAGGTTTTGTCACACACTCACATGTGATTGTGATTCCTCACTGTGCCTGAGGAAAGGCTGCTCATGGGCATGTCTGCCCAGGGCTGAGGAGCTGGGCTGTGGTGGGGCTGGATCTGGGTGTTGGAACTAGAGGGGACCATCCTGGCTGGTGCAGAAAGGTGGGAGTCAGTGGGGTCAGGGTCTGTCCTGCAGAGATCAGGAGGCCCCTGGAGAGGTGTGTTTGGGGATGAGAGTGTCCTGTTTGGATCTGAGCAGGGCCTCTCTGGCAGCGACATGGGGAACAAATGTAGGGAAACAACAGAGACCAGTAGCCACTGGGGATTGAGGCCCAGAGTTGTCTGAGAGGCAGTGCTGGAACCCAGCTGAGAGTGGGACAGGTGGCCATGCCAGTTCCCGTCATCTGGCCTCAGGCACGGCGCTGCGGAGAGCACGTACAGACACCACTGGGAATGCAACCAGGGCCAGTCCTGCATGTGGGAGCTGCCAGAGGCAGGGGCTAGAAAAAATGTATCACTAAATGCGTAGGTTTGACATTATAGATGTCCTGGGTCAAGACTGTTTTTCAGCAACGATATAATCCAACTTCAAAGGCAAGTGGATGGTGAGATTTCCAACCCTGGTCCACCCACTGAGTGGGTCTGCAGCAGGGGGCAGCGCGTCGTTAGGCTCATCACTGGGATGGCGGCGCACAGATTAATTGGCAAATTTGTGCTTTGATTGCAGAGACCCAGCCTGACCCATGTGGTGGAGTGGATTGATTTTGAGACGCTGGCCCTGCTGTTTGGCATGGTAATCACAGCCCTCCCCGTGGGACTGGGCTCCACGCCTGCGGTAACCGGGCCTTCTCTGGCCTCCACTGCTGAGGATCCTTCATTATGTTAAAGACACAGTGCCTAGGGCTTGACTGAGAAGTGTCAGTGCCGGTTATCGGGAGAACCCGCTCCCGATGTTTAACGTGTTCTTTTCTATTTCCTAAGTGTCTCCGCTGGGTTGAGAAATAAAAGGAAAGAGCACAAGAGAGAAATTTAAAGCTGGGTGTCGGGGGAGACATCACATGTCGGCAGGATCCGTGATGTTCCCCGAGCTGTAAAACCAGCAAGTTTTTATTAGCGATTTTCAAAAGGGGAGGGAGTGCACGAATAGGGTGTGGGTCACAGAGATCACATGCTTCACAAAGTAATAAAATATCACAAAGCAAATGGAGGCAGGGTGAGATCACAGGACCACCGGATGAGGAGAAATTAAAATTGCTAATGAAGTTTCGGCATGCATTGTCATTGATAACATCTTATCAGGAAACAGGGTTTGAGAGCAGGTAACCTGTCTGCCCACAATTTATTAGGCGGGAATTTTCCCATCCTCGTAAGCCTGGGAGCGCTATAGGAGACCGGGGCTTATTTCATCCTGTCGGCTTCGACCATAAAAGACGGGACGCCTTAAAAAGGGGCCGTCTATAGGCCTACATTCAGGGCGCATTCTCTTTCTCAGGAATGTTCCTGAGAACAAGAATTCAGCGATATTTCTCCTATTTGCTTATGAAAGAGGGGGAATGTAGCTCTGTTCCGTCCGGATCACCAGCGGCCAGTTCAAAGTTACCTCCCTTGTTCCCTGAACATCGCTGTTATCCTGTTCTTTTTTAAAGATGCCCAGATTTCATATTGTTCAAACACACATGCTCTACAAACAATGTGTGCAGTTGATACAATCACAGGGTCCTGAGGCACGACATTCATCCTCCTCAGCTTACAAAGAAGACGACGGGATTAAGAGATTAAATAAAGGCAGGCATAGGAAAACACGGGGGTATTGATTGGGGAAGTGATAAGTGTCCATGAACTCTTCACAATTTATGTTCAGAGATTACAGGAAAGACAGGCGTAAGAAATTATAAAAGTATTAATTTGGGGAACTAAAAAATGTCCATGAAATCTTCACAATTTATGTTCTTCTGCCGTGGTTTCAGCCGGTCCCTCCGTTCAGGGTCCCTGACTTCCCGCAACAGCGGGTCTCCGGAATGTCTCCTGAGGAGGAACGGAACGGGGCTATGGTTCGTTAGCTGGAGAATTCCAGCCCAAGGCATGTCTGACGATGAAATCATATTGCCATTTAGAAAAGCTAGCAATTCTTTTGAGTTGCTGCCCTTAAAATAAAAAAATGGACTATCCCAAATAAATAAACCATGTAGGAGTTTCAGTGGGAGAGAGAGTACCTTTCATGATGTGAGTAAAGGAAGGTGTCACTCCTAAGCAGTCGTTCGGGTGTTTGCTAATTGATCATACTACCCAGTGGCCACTCTGTGCTGTGAGGAATGCCACCAGCGCCACCTGCAGGAACTCGAAATGCCCCAGCGGGCTAGTGTGGGACACGAGTCATGACCCAGCTTAACGAGAACCAGGGGAGCCTGGCCAGGGCCTGGCAGCAGGGGCAGCCCACGTGTTCCTGAGCAGACCCCAAACAGTCCAGTGGTCTGCAGGAGGTCTTCCTCTCTGGGCTAGAAGACTTGCTCTGTGTACAGCTGGGCACTATAGATCCTCATTTTCCTTGCTAACGTTTCGTCCCTCCCAAGGCTGGCCAACGTAACAGAAGACCCAGCTACGTTAGGCTTCCATGTGACCTGACTGGAGGCCGTGCCGCCATCCTCTGTGGGCAGTGCTCAGGGAGACGGCAAGTGTTCTAGCCCCGGCTTCACAGAGTAACTCATATTTGTATTGGGCCTGAGACGTATACAGAGTTTGGGCATCTGGATAGGAGAGAGGAAATGTGCCAGATATCCCTGAGATATGCCTGTTTTAAAAAAGGAATGCTATATTAGTTTGCTAGGACTATGTAACAAAGTACCACAGACCGTGTGGCTTAAATAATATAAATGTATTTCCTCACAGCTCTGGAGGCTGGAAGTCCGAGATCACGGTGTGGGCAGGGTTGGTTTCTCCGAAGCCTTTCTTCCTGGGCTTGTAGATGGCACCTTCTCCCTGCGTTTTCACTTTGTCTTCCCTGTGTGTCTGAGTCCTGACACCCTCCTCCTGTAAGGACACCAGCCACACTGAATCAGGGCTCACCCTAACGACCTCATTTTAACTTAATTACCTCCTTCAACGCTGTCACTCCAAATATGTCATGTTCCCAGGTAGTGGGGGACGTTAACATATGAATTTTGAGGGACACAGTTCAGCCTATAAAAATGGCTTTGGCTTTTTTTCTTGTTGGAATCCAGTTCCGCGAGCACTTGCAGATTCTGGAATTCTGGAACTGCACGGTGCAGGGTCATTACAACCGGGTCCCTGCCTTTTCTCCCCCATTTCCTGGCAGCCGACCACCCACAGGGCCATTTACCCCCATCCCTGAGTTCTAGTCTCCCATGGTGGTTCTGTCAGCAAATGTGTAAACGCCACACGGGTCTGCACATGCCTGTCTGCTCGTGCATGTCCATTGGTGTGCGAAGCCCCATGTTCCAGCGTCAGCTCTCAGTGGCCTTTTGGGTGAGGATGAACATTGATGGTCACTCTGGACACGATGGATATTTACACTGGGTCTAAATTGACTGGGGACATTTTTGTTTTCCATAGTTTATTTAAGAGACAGTAGTGTCTACTGGGACTCCTGTTTACCAAGTATTGTAATTTGAATAATTATATTGCATTTTCACAACCTGATGAAGTATAGAACATTCAGAGGTAAGGTGAAAAAACTGAGGGACAGAAAGGTTAATTCATATTTTTGTTCAAGTTCGGACTTTTTTTTTCTTTTTTTTTTTT